ATTCACCATTATTACTTTTAACTGGAAATGTAAATTATTATTTTTATATTATATTTATTATAATTAGTAATATTATATTTAATTTTTTAATATTTAATATATATTATTTATTTTAAAAATATAATTAATCTCTTTATAATTATTATAATTATTACTTTTAAATATATACTTGAATGATTATAAAATATATAATTATAATTATTTAATATTAGAATTTTCAAACTAAATAATTATAATTATAAAAAGATATAATTATAAATAATAATTATTATATTAGATTAAAGTCTTATTTTTACTAAAAATTATTTATATAATAAAAAATAAAATATTCATTTTTTAATTATTTATATAAGTTTTATAATTTAAAAAAATAAAATATATATAATTAAAATATTTTGATCAAATAATATTATTTTGACTAAATTATAATTTGATTAAAATAATTTTATTATAATAACTCTTATAATTATAAAATCAAAATATTAATTTTATTAATAAAAATATAATAAAAATCTTTATATTAAAATTTTATAATTTATTAAGAAATAATTTTTATTTTTTATTAAAATAAAGTTTATAATTTAGCATATATTTTTTCAGATTTTTTTTAAAAGAATTGTTTTAATTGCAAGTTATAAAAATTTTTAATTAATTAAATTTTTTGTAATAACTTTGTAACTAGAATAATGCTCAGAAAAATTTGAAAAAAATGATGTAATATAAAATAAAAATTATTTTTTAATAAATTATAAACTTTAACATAAAAAGAAACTTTCAATTTTACTATATTTTATTAATAAAATTGATTCTCTGATTTTATAATTATAAGAATTACTATATTACATATTATTTATAGTATTGATACATCGTAGCATAGAATTGGAATACGTCATCACGTAGATTCCGATTAGCAGCGATGCAAAGCCTCAGATTGATGCATCGTTGGGAATAAGGCGCCGACTAATGAATCAAAACAAAAATGATTCATTAGTCTTGGCGACGCGATAAAAGTGGGATCGCGACGAGAATAGTGGGAGGAAATTTGGTTATAAATAAAGAGGACTTTAGAGTAGAAAAGCGTAGTTTAGAATTAAGAAATTAGTTCATAACTGTAATGAACTTTTATTAAATAAAATAAAGATTCTTATTACTCTTAAATAATCGCATACATTCTTTTAAAAAACTATTATTAATCTATTCCACACCCTCTATTAATAAAGTAGTCTATCCTAAGGCTACGAACACTAAATAACGAAACTACGACAGCGACCGACGAATTGCCTTCTTAGGTAGGAACTAGCGCCATAACTTGGAGAACCCGATCAAAGTCGGCGTGTTGATCGACGAAATTATAAATCAACTAACGGAAAACTGATTACTTGGTGATCGGGTAAAAGCATTTCAAATTTTTGCCATTCAAAAAAAAGATATGCTGTCCTTCATTATAGGATAATTCAAATGTTTATTTTTGAAAAATAGCTCATATTTTACTATAAACTTTGAATAAAGTTTTTGTTGTTTTGCTCCTTAATAGTCAACGGTCAATTCAATTTCAGAACATCCTCGTGGAATGTATTGAACCACCTGCTATTAATATTTCATATCTTGCGATTTGATTAAAAACATTTTTTCCGTGATAAAAGATCATTTTCCTATATCTGCAATCAAGAATTAAAATTCTTAAAGCGGATGATGCTGAAATTTACATATCGATATATAATAAGGGGACAGACTTATATCACGTATAGAACTGACACCCAGATGAGATTTTTATTATATTTGATTGGCTAATTATTTTGATCATGTGGAAGGTGAGATTTTTGAGATTCTCCCTTCCCCAATATTTACGTGATATATGTCTGTCCCCTAACGTATCACATTAATTTATTAAACAACTCTAATAGTATCTGTATACCTAATTAAATAGCGATAGCTGCAAAAATTAAATTTTAAATAATGAAATTAAAGGAGGGTAAGTAAATCCATTTTCTCCAATGCTTTACTTTTAAAGAGAAAAGCTTGATAAATGAAAATGCATTTCTTTTATCTATTTAAATATTCCCAGGAGTTTTCATTAATGATACGTAATTGAATTTTTTATGAATCTTTTCGATTCAAACGGCCGACTTTCTCCAACAATTCATCAAATCCTATAGGCATCCACTGTTTTGATTCCTCCTGCGCATATATCACATCATCCTTCATATACATGAGCACACCGCCGACACCTTGCATCGAGCAACCAAATCGGAACAACGGTTTCCCGGATGCAGCGTGAGTCTTGTTGACAGGTAAGAATAGGTAGTTATGCTCTTGGGCGAAATCCTCGACAATATCTTTGTGTGATATCGTTTCTATTGTTATTGTACTGCTGTCTTTTGAAAATGGAGTAGTTGTTGGCTCTTCGATAATTTCGGGTTTTTGTGAAGGATGTGGTAATCTTGCAGCTGCGTCCACTCCAAGTGCACTGCTCTCATTTATCATTTCTAATGCTTGTTTAAAGTGGGATTCGATCGTATGCGCCATTACTGGGGGAAATTGTTCTTTCCAATAAGTATACCATTCAAACACTTCGTCATAATTAGGATTATGTGTCAACCAAACATATAAAATTTCCAGCCAGCTTGGAAAGAATTCTGTTGCGAAAAGTTGGCCAAAGTCCTCTACCAAAAACAATTCATGCCATTTCATTACCCAATTGAATGGTTTGATATCTTGTTGTCTTGGGTTTATTTTAAGCTCGGTTCTTAGGGTCACAGTTAGTTTCGGTAAAACAGATTTAAGCAAAAGTGATTGCATTTCTTTTTTCTTAAAAACTGTTTTCCACGGATATAAAATATTAAAGGCGCTCGAATCGGAAGGATGCCAAGCCTGCAATGCCACAACAAATTTTTGCCGTACTAGCAGGTACAACGGCTCCATTCGTTCTTGTAAAATCAATAGCCACGGGTGCAACCAATGATGTATCATCTCATTGTCTTTTTTTGGATTCCAGTTGTCAACTTCTTGTTTCAGCTTCGGGAAAATGAGTTGTTCAAGTATGTTGTCATAGATGAAGTTGGGGAGTGTTGGCGGATGCCAATTCTCGAGAAGCCTTGTGACTGGTTCATAATCCCTGGCGTTCCAGTAGTTACTATTTTTAAATAAAAAGTATTAATATAAATTCAAGGTGAACATCGATAGTAATATGTATTATATAAATCTCTTACTTTATTGCTGATCTCACTTTAGGCAACCAAATATTATACATCATACTTTCGTAAGGTGTCATTGTGGTTGAATTGCTACATTATTAAACAAAATGATTAGCGAGTCGATTCGTAAAAAAGCAAAACAAACTTAATAAACTAATTCTATAATTTTACTACATTGTATTTTTAGTAAATCCAAGTCTATCCCCATTTAAATCATAGCTGTTATCATTATTTATTGGAACGTTCATCTTCAACAACCGACGCCATTTCTTTATCATTTCCAACCAATGCGTAGTTGTTGGATCATTTAATGGATCCCAGGTAGTTATACTCTTTTTTATCTAAGTAATAATGTGTGTGTATTATTAAGATTAGAATTAAAATGATAAAAAATCAGAACCTAAAAAAAAACCTTTTTTTTTTCTTTACTTACTAATGGTGTGATGATGGCCACAACAGCTGAATCCAGGCCATACAAAGAATACTCTTCTTCGTACTCTGTTTGGAGTTTATTGAATGCCTGATACATATCCTGTAATGAAGAAAAATCTTGATCTTCTGATGATAAGCTAAATCTCTCACAATCTTTCAATATACCCATTATTTCTTCGAGCCGCTTAATTTTATTAGCTTCTGAATTCACCAACTTTTCAACCCTTATCTGTTCAGTCTCGAATGATTTTATTCGTCCTTTCTGGATTCGCTGTTCTCTAATTATGTGCTCCAAATCAGACTGTGACATGTCAACAATCAGTCGCAAGTTATACCGTAGCTCGGGCAGACGACCAGCTACTGCATCTTGCGCAAAAAGCGATGAAGAGAGCTGACTTGTTGATGTGATTTCGCGCGCCGTTGGCCCCGTCATATCTATAATCTTTATCGGCTTTATGGAAGCACTAGAGGCGCTGTCCTCCTCAATTCCTGTAATGATCTCCTCCGCGGTCTTATACTCTACTCTGGGCCGTTTAGCCTTCGCCTTCCAAGCATTCTTTTTAGGTTTTACTGTTTGTTCGGTTAGCTCTGGTTGTTTCTCCTCCTCTTCACTTGTCACCTTCTCTTTGAACCCTCCATAAGCCAGCCCCAACTTCCCCGGACGCAACTTGGTCTCTATTGGTTTTACTATCCCTTCTCCACTCTTTCCGAGACCTTCACCTATATTGTAACCCATTTTCTGCATCATTTTTAAGCCGAATCCTTTGGTATGTTGCTGAAAGCTTGCAAACCCCTCATCCAGGGGTTCGGCAGCTTTTCGTTTCTCCTTTGATGAGTAATGTGATGTCGACATTTTGGAAAAGAAGCTTAAACAGTTCGAATTCCAAAGTTATCAGTTCCCAATTTTTGTAATTGTGCAGAAAAATAGCTCTATTTGTAAGACGGAAAATACCTTCCATTTTTAGAATTACGTGAAATTTCTATGTCATTGCACCAGTTTGGGTTAATTAATCGATCGTTTGCTTTACACTTTTAGGGAGCTTAGGGAACTTTCAAAATCCAAAGAATTTTTTAGTGGAATTACTTAAAAATGCCTTCAAGGTACGTCAAACTTCACAAACAAAACTACAAGAAACTGTTCCTGAATTGCGCGCGTAAAGGGGAACATTTCCGAGACGAACACTTCCCGCCCGTAGAGTCGTCGCTATGGAAGAATGTGCAGCCTGTACAAGGAAATATAGAGTGGAAGAGGTGTAAGGTAAGATGAAAAGAGACATTCTCTTTTTCTTTGGTTCTTTATTTTGGTTCTCTTCACAGTTTTCTTATACTCATTTGCAAAAACAGTTATTTTCACGTACTTGATTTTTCACTAAACTCTCAATAATGAATTCAAAATTTGACACCAGGATCTTTGCAAAAACCCTCATTTATTCATCTTCAAAAATGGCCAATTAATCCCGGAAGTTGTACAAGGGTCCGTTCTTTAATAAAAAGTATTTTGTATTTTTCAATAGCTTGTTGCTCGATAATAATAATCTTTATTAATTTAGAGCTGTTGGGAACTGTTGGTTGGTATCAGCGTTGGGTGTTTTAGCTGCTCATCCGCACTTATTAGAAAAAGTTGTACCGAGATGGGGATTACAAGATTGGGTTCACAGTGATGAGCCGGGAAGACAGATGGGAGTGTATCATTTACGAGACACGGAACGGCATCCAGGTGATTTATTGATCCTTGAGATTGTCAAATAAAATAAATTTAAGAATTAAGCAAAATGAAATATTACATATAAATAGGTATCTTCCGCTTTCGTTTCTACCGTTTTGGACAATGGATCGAGGTAGTCGTAGATGACTACCTCCCAACTATAAACGGTCGCCTGATATACGCCCACTCAAAAAATCCAAATGAAATGTGGTGTGCCCTATTAGAAAAAGCATACGCGAAACTTTGCGGGTGCTATGAAGCACTAGATTCCGGATCAGCTTCGGACGCGTTGGTTGATTTGACGGGAACTGTGCCCGAGACTATTGATTTAAGTCAAGATGATGGTGACGGAGGGATCATTAAGAAAATGGGAGAGGACGCGTTTATTTATTATATTCTTAAGGCTGCAAAAAAAGATGCCCTGATGAGTTGTTCGATTAATGCGTTGGATGAGGAGAGAATTGAAGAGAGGCTTCCTAATGGGTTAATCATTGGTGTAAGTGTTTTCATCATATGGATAGCTATGTATAAAATGGAATCTATATTTAAGGCATATATTTTAGCATTCTTATGGAATTACCCAAATACAAAAATTACGATATAATTGGCGTGACAAAAAAGAAGTGTTATTATTTCGTCTGCATAATCCGTGGGGTGAAGTAGAATGGAATGGACCGTGGTCTGATAGCTCGCCGGAATGGGAAAAAGTCACAGAGTCTAAACGGAAAAAACTAGGCCAAATAGTGGAGGACGACGGCGATTTTTGGATGGTATTATATAAATTTTTTGATTCAAGAATTTTCAATTGATAAAAATTAATTTATAATAGTTTATTTTATTGATTATTGTTTGACTTAGGCATTTGAGGATTTTGTGGAAAATTTCTCAAATTTGGTTATATGTCGTAATCTAAACACGCCATGGTATAAATTAGGTCAACATTGGCATAGCATTATATTTCGTGGAGTTTGGTCAGTTGAGACTGGGACAGCTGGTGGATGTATAAATAATCAAGAAACATTTTATCAGAATCCTCAGTTTGCATTTACAGTCACCAAACCGACTGTAATTATTATTGCGTTGATGCAAGAAGATCATCGTGCTGTAAAACTCTATGGAACCGATAATCTGACTATAGGATTTGTGTGCCTAAAGGTCGAAGAAAATCGAAAATACCGGATACATAGGCCCACATATGTAGTAACTAGTCGAGTGACATTTATTAATGCGCGAGAAGTCACCTCAAGAGTTGCCCTGAATCCTGGACGATATATTATCATACCGTCAACATTTAATGCTGGTGAAGAGGGATCTTACTTTCTAAGAATGTTCTCGTCTCGATATATAGATGTGAAACCACTTTTGAAAGATAAACCGAAAAAGAAATGGTACTACCCTTTAGTATACTGGGGTAATGCTTATTATGTTGGAATGGCAAGAGTCCAAATAATGAAAGTACATCTAAAACGAGAATTTAGTGGATTTATAAAAATCACATTTTCAGATCTGAAGGGCCGCCTTCATGAGTATTATGTGTCACATTCATTTAAGAAAGCAATAGTCGCGGATATTGGAAATGAATACGTCTTTTATATACGAGATCCGTTAACATCTGGGATAATACTCCAGTTATGCGAATCTCATACATTCAGTAAAACCAAGGTAGTGGGTGAAATGCGAGTTGGATTCGAAAATTACTGTCGTGAAGACAAAGAAGGTAGAATATGGGAGATTACAAAAACCTTAACGAAGATGGTTCAAGTGCCTAAATCACTTGGTGTAGTGACAACAAAGGAAGTTGAGACTGATGGTTATACACCTAATGTTTCTAGACGTCGTGAACCTTTACAGGGTACTTCCAATAATAGCATTATTCGAGATAACGAAACAAGTAACAGTGATGGTCATCATATGGCCACTTCGCCACATCATTTTGCGCCAGGAATTAACACAAAGACTATGTTGGTACCTCAGTATATAGATGCTGGTATTGGCGAAATACAAATCAGAGTATCATATTTTAACGGGGTTAATGCATGATATATACCCCGGCAATTTTCATAATTAACACTGTAAATTAATTTGTTGTAAATTATTTATTAATTAATTTTTATTTACCGCTAATTTTGAAATTTAGTCAAGATATATATATATATTCTAGGATTGAAAATAGCAACATAAATTTGCGCGACATATATATATATATATACACATACATACATATATGAGCAAACACTACCTTTTATCAGGTAACACAAGTAATACTTTACCAATTTTCATCCTGGCATCTCATTCTGAAAATAGTAATTCATACACTTACCAATGAATCTACAAGTGTGTTCATCAAAGAAGGTAATACAAAAGAATATCTATCATGTTAGAAAAATTAAGATTGATTAACTTCAAATTTGCTAAGGTTAAAGCTCAATACAAGAATTAAATAACTAACCAACTAACCATATATTTTGAAGAATCTTTGCAAATCCAATAATCGAGAAACAAATAGAAAAGGAAAAAAAAGCAAAAAATAAAGGAATGCAGTGAAATAATAATAGAATAATAATAACAATGATGATAAGGGATTTTTGTTTAGTATTCTACAACTTCATCAGCCTCACCCTCCTTCATCGATATATCCTCATTAGATGGATGTTGTTCATTTTTCGGGGGATCCACATCCCCATCATTAACATTGTCTTTTTTTTTGGCGTCATTTTTTTCATCCCTTTTTGTCCGATCATTTGTTATCGTTTCTCCTGCTGTAGTAGTGTTTGTAATAGTATCATTTTTATTATCTTGTATGGTGGTGGGTTCATCTTTTGACGACGACAGATTAACTGTAGTCGTTTCATCCGTGGATTTATCATTATTAGTCGATGTATCCTTGTCTGCTCCTTCAATTGCCATTGGCTCTGATTCAGCTTTACTTTCTAATTTTGATGATGATGTGAAAGTAGGTTTTGAATCAACAGAAACAATAGGCGCTTCATCAATTTCCATCTTATTTTCGTCGTTATTCTTACTATTATTATTATTATTATTATTATTATTATTATTATTATTATCATCATCATCCTTATTACTGTTATTATTCTGTTTCTCTCTCTTTACAGACTTTTCACTTTCCTCATCCTCTCGATCTTTTTCTTCGCTATGATCTCTATCATCATCATCATCATCATCATCGTCATCATCTCCCCTCTTTCTTCTTGAAGTATCTCTCATCTCAACATCATCACTATTAATTTCATTATTGCTACTACTATTATTATATTTAAACAATTTATTATCCTGTGCTCCGCTAGATGTAGATGCCAACACCAACTGCCGTTTCTGTTCAGCAATTGTTTCCACATCTGCGGAAGACAGTCTTGCAGGAAGGTAATAGAGACGAGGTTCTGTGACGGTGCAAAGAAAGTTTGCGAGATTCTTTTTTTGGTTTGACCAACATTCTTGCTATTTTTGATTTATTTATTATTTAATTAACATGAAATTATTTAAAAATATATATCATTTAGTTCGAGTCAACAGTTGTATAATAACGAATTTTGAACGAAAATAAAAAAGGCAATACCAATTCACTCTGACGTTTTTCCTCTTCTTCTTTTCGTAATTTCGCGGCTCGTTCTCGCTTCTCTTGTTCTTCTCGTTTCATTTTCTCCATCAATTCTTGTTTATCTTTTCGCAGTTTCTCTTGTAATTTCTGGTCAATCTGTTCTCGTTTAATCTCCTGCAAAATATATTGGATGATT